AATAGTGTACTACAATCCTCTACGCTCTACATAAGCCACATGAGTTCAGCGTGAGCAAGATCGTTCTCATGTAATATAATCAAATCACAAAACAAGCTAGACAATGAAAATTATGAGAAAAAGGGAGATTGATGTAAACCCTTATCACTAGATTGAGTTGCATTCCTCCACTAAACTGGTGCCAAAGTTTGTTTTCAAGCCTGCGACAAGGGTTCCATAATGGCTCTACGTACTCTTCGACGGTGTGGCTGTCGTATGCGTGGCGTTGACGACGAAAAAATGTCGAGTGAAGGATGCAGACAAACCCTTATTCGTCGTTAGACGAGGACCGTACAGATTTGGATAGCCATTGCATGGCCTTGGAGGTTGCGATGTGAAGACGATCATTGACCTTCCCTTGAAGACTCCTCTTTGAGATGGAGGTTGATCGGCTAGAGAAATCAAAGAAGAAAAGGTAAAAGAGGTGGCCAACCAATGCATGGGTGCAAGGTTTGGTGGGGGCAAGATATAGGGAGCCTTATACCCCTCGCCCGCGACGATGATGATAAACCGACTGACCCACTTAAATCGACGAATGATGCAGACTAAGATGAGGAAGCAAAACCTTCTTACATTTCAAATTTAACTAAAAAGAGAAATTAAAAGAACATTACAAACGACGACGGAATTACAACTTTGACTCGATAATCCCAAAACACCCTAAAGTTGCTTCACTTAGGACGAAAGATTACGATGGAGTGACACTTACGAGAAGACGAAGAATTAGAAGCCAAGATGAAAGTTGGAAAGAGCTCGCAAGATTTCCGGAGGGGATGAGAAAGAAGACGGACAAAAGCTCGCAAGTTTTCCCCAATAACCCGCAGATTAACATTTCCCCAAAAATCACATATCATTCAACTTTTTTAAACAATACAAATTCCCCCATAATATATAGGTTGTGAAATGGAATTATCAAAAGACACATAACATTAACTGCACAAGAACCGAAGCACCATGAGCCACGGAAATCCCCCCTATTGCATCACGGAAAAACAAACCCAAGCCCAGGAACCGAAGAGAGCAGCTTGCGGGAGACAAGGAGGCCGCACGAGGAACCAAGGCGCCACTCCACGGGAAACATCCAGCTCGGAAAACCAGCAGCCGGCCAAATTCCAAGGGGCAAAGGCACAAAAAAAAAACTAAGCCCATGGTGGAGTCAATGGAAGCCACACATGGAAAACCAAACAAACTTCTTTGGATTCTAAAAGGGCCGGGGTTTGGAATTCCAAGGGACAACATAATTAAAAAAACATAGCTATTAATTGAGCTAACCCTTAGTTCAATCAGTGGTTGAATTTTGAACTGACCCTAAACCCGACACGGAAAAAATCCGGGTTCGGGTCCAATCCGAACCCGAAATGGGTCGGGTTCGGTTCAACAATCAATCGACACCGTTTTAAAATCGGGTTTGGGTTGAACACCCAGCAACCCGACACATTGACCGAAGTGAGACAAAAACTCATAAAATTTTTGACCCAAAAACCGCAAAAAATTGACCCGTTTTTGATCTGATTTTTGACCAGAAATAATCGAAACTTGGACTCCGAAGTCTTTTGCACTCAAAATTTAGCAAATTTTAGGTCAACTCGGGCTTGTCCATCTGTTGTCGTGGTCTCGGGTTGACTCCGATTGTGTCCGGAATCGGGTCGGGTTCGGGTCCGGAAATCCTGAGACCGTTCTTAAAAATGGGGTCGGGTTCGGTGTTGACCGACACACCTGGGATAAGTTCTGGGGTTCGACCCGAACCCGATCAGCGGCGACGCCGATAGGTTGGGACAGGCCCCTAAGACATTAAATGACGTAAATATGCAGCTCATAAATGCCAGACATTTCAAGTCCATAGTGATTGGAGCTGGTGTAAGCTCCAAGGGAAGTCAATCCAACTTATTTAGAGTTTAGAGTTGATCCTTCCGCTTTGCCCTACATCACAGACTCCCCTTCTGAAGACTCATCTCCCGATGAGTTGCTTTTAGTGTTTCTCTTGAGGGCAGTGCATACTGATCATCCAGCTCT